AACTGGGACCTGAAACACTGGTGCTCAAACCAATAGGCTCACTTTAACAAGATGTGCAAAGTCTCAAAAAAGAAAACATTACAAGACATATTTCAAGATCTCAGTTGGTCTTGCTTGTGACTCTAGAATTGGGCAACAGCCATTCCACAAAATAGATGTGTTCTGACAGGTTCAGCACAGCAGATTAGTTTTATACAGAAAAGGGATGAATAAAGCAGAAACAAAGAACAAAAAGCCACACTGGTCATTTCAAAGCTACTTCTCCCAGCAGGTGTGGACAGGTAGAAGGAATAGAAAGGATGAAAAAAAAATAACTGGTTAACATCAGATTACTCCAGGGAGTTTTGTTTTGCTGGTAAGGATTAAAGCTGAGGAGCTTTATTATCACTATTGAAACTAGCCCTTTGGGGATATTTGGTGATTCTGTCAACTCCTCTCATCTCTCAGGTCAAGAAAGCAACTTAGCTTTGTTTCGATGCAGTATGGGTGCTTTCCAGCTTGATTTTCAGAATGCTCTGCTGGGGACTCAGCAGGCACGTAAAATTGTATTTAATTTCATTATCAAACAAATACTGAGAGGCTATTTGGAGGCCAGGTACTGTGCTAGGGCTACAGAGTGGCAAGGAAGGAAACTGCCCTCATCTAGCTTCCAGTCTATGAGAAAGATAAACAGCAACACCAGAGTGTGCTAAGTGGGGGAAATATCAGAAAACTATGCTAGTTTTGGGAGAGGATGGATGAAACGGGTGAGAGGAGGACGAAGTATATTGAGACCAGAAGCAAGGGGAAGCTACACTAATCAAGACAAAAGAGAAAAGACGAGGGCACCAAACAAAAAACCTCTTCAAGAAAGCTGGTTATCACTTACAGAACTTCTTTGTCCTTTGACTGATAACTCACAATACCCAGCATTCCTCCTGCAATCCCTACCCAACTCATAAGCCAAAACCAAAAGTTTCATGTTGCCACAAAGCTGCCACAGAGGACTAAGTCGTGTGGGGTGAATTTTTTCTTATTATCTGCTAAAATTGATACAGATATAGTTATACATTAGATCATGCATATATAATTTTTAAAAATTCTTTAATGGTAGGGGTGCTATTTTACAATTTCAGTGATCTGGTATCTGGTAGGATCTTGCACCAAGTGGCAAGTTGGTCAATCTGTACCAGTAAGAACACTCGCAATAAATGGAATAAGGAGAAAACCAAAACCAAAACAAACAAGCTGCTTCTTTAAATGAACAATCTACAACTATAAAACAACAAACTCTATCTAGCCCAGACATTACCTAAAGCTTTGACTTTATACATTTTCCCTAATTCTCCTTAGATCACTAAATAGCAAAATACAAACACACAAATCAAAACAAACATGGAAAAGGAAAAGTTTGATGGAAATAAGTGATAGGATATAAAGACTGGGGTCCTAACAATGCCAACTGAATTACAGAGAAATCCTTTTCAGATGAATGACAGTCAACAGTGTGCTTATTTAGCCTCACTGCACTTTAATGCAGAGCTGCAATTCACCTAGTAAGGGTTTGTCTATTGCACAGATGCTGTCAAGCCTTGGAGAGGTCTGTCTTGTGTCTGGGAGTCAACCTGCACTTACCTGAATTGCATGTTCAATTAAATGTTCTCTGTAGGAACAGCTTTAGTTACAGCTGAATAGAGTTCCAGGAAAGTCCATTAGGAGTTTCATGATTTACTCTAGGGCAATCATGGCAGCTGTTGCATTTTTGGCCAGGATACAGAGTCCTTCCATTGTATATAACCAGTGGGCTCTTACCCTGAGGTTGCTTTCTCATGAGAATACAAGTTAAAATTTTATTCATTTATTTTACATTTTACCATGAATTAGGAATACTACTTTGTAGTTAAAATCATACTTTTACAGAAAGGTACGTCCCTAAAAGTCAAATAAAATGTCCAAGCACACCAGCCCAGGCCAGTTACTAGAAGCTCTAAGTTCAATGTCCATTGTTGGAAAACACCATTCCCTCCAACTCTCCTATCTTCAGCTAAAATCTTTAAACAAACAAAAAAGATAAAGAAAGAAAGAAAAAAGCTAGTTTGCCAAAAGACCCACCCAAGCATAGTTAATTCTAGATTGATTCCTACTCCCATTTCCAGTATTTGAATATTCACAATACCTGCTGCTTGGAACACTGGAACTTTCTGATTTCACACTTTCAACAAAGTTGAGAATTGCCTTGACTAGAAGTTTCCAATTCCTTCTTTTCAACTTCTAATTGCACAGAAAGCAACTCTTATTTTTCACCAGAGTGGTAACATGAAATCACACCATGGTTCTGCTAGGCAGAGCAGGGCTGCACGGTTGCTATAGCAACACTTATACACTCACCATGGATAGTCCCAGTCCCCAGTCCAAGGAAGAGGTCTGTTGCTCCACCCCCCACCCCCCAGGAGTCACAGGCCCTGGCAAGCCGGAAGTGTCTCTGCACAGATATATTTTTAGTTCAGTAGCTCTGATGAAGCAATAAGACACCAATTTTTTTATTACCTCTCAGTGCTGAATGTCACCTCGATGAGCAGAACAGACTCCAAGCCAAGCTGCCAGATATGACTGCAACTTTCTGCACCATAACAGCACTGTGTTCTTTGCCCCCTCCTATCTGAAACCTGGCCAAGCTAGTTTTCCTCCAGGCACAGAAAAAAATAAAAAGCAAAAACCCAAATAAACTTAGGCTTTTGTTTTCAGATTTTCATGCTTGTAAACTTGCATTCTACTTTATGTATGTAAATATATATACGGGGGCACGGCGCGGTGGCGCAAGTGGTTAAGGTCCTCGCCTTGCACACCCGGGATCCCATATGGGTGCCGGTTCTATCCCGGCAGCCCCGCTTCCCTTCCAGCTCCCTGCCTGTGGCCCGGGAAAGCAGTCGAGGACAGCCCAAAGCCTTGGGACCCTGTACCCGCGTGGGAGACCCGGAAGAGGCTCCTGGCTTCGGATCGGCATAGCATCGGCCCTTGTGCTCACTGGGGGAGTGAATCATCGGACGGAAGATCTTCCTCTCTGTCTCTCCTAATCTCTGTATATCCGCCTTTCCAATAAAAAAAATAATAAAAATAAATCTTTAAAAATATATATATATACACACACATGATATATATACTATGTATATTTACCACCCAGATTCAAATATATATATATATATATACTTAAGGCCTATTTTCTTTTATTGGCTAGATCAGATTTATGGAAAGAATAACAGAAAGATTTTCTGTCTGCTGGTTTACTCCACAAAGGACTGCAACAGGCAGAGCTGAGCCAATCCAAAGCCAGGAACCTGGTCTCCCACATGGGTGCAGGGTCCCAAGGCTTTGGGCCATCAACTACTCCTTTCCCAGGTCACAAGCAGGAAGATGTATTTGAAATGGAGCATCTGGGATACAAATTGGTGCCCATGTGGGATTCCAGCACTTGCAAAGTGAAGATTTAGCCATTGAACCATTGTTCCAGGTCCCGTTTACTGAGTTTTACTGAGTGTTAATTGTTTTGCTGGGTGATTTGCAATACTATTTCACTTTCTTATCATAAGAACTATGGGAAGTAGGGATTAGTAAACATTCACTTAACAGATGAAAAATGTGAGGCTTCAAAAAGTTCTGACTTGTCCAAGCTACTTCAGGGGGAGTTCGACCGAACTTATTTTTTTTTTTCCATTTTAAAAAGACTTATTTATTTGAAAGGCAGCATTATGAGGGACAGGGTGAGGGGAGGAAAAAGAAGGGAGGGAGAAAGAGAGAGAAAGGCTTCTATTCCGATTCATTCCCCCACTTGGCTGTATATGAAAGGATGGGGCAGACTGAAGCTAGAAGCTTCTTTCAGGTCTCCCACAAGAGTGCAGAAGTCCAAACAGGCCATCTTCTGCTACTTTCCCAGGTGCATTAGCAGAAAGCTGAATCAGAAATGGAGCAGCAGGGACTTGAACTGGTGCACACATGGGATGCTGGTACTGCAGGTCATAGCTTTACTCGCTGTGCCACAATGCTGACCTCTGAGCTCATCTCTTAACTTGAAGTCTGCTTTTTGTCTACTGTACTACACTTCATTTTATAAGAATATTCTTACTTCTTCATTATTTTACCATACATTTTCATAAGCAATGACTTTATTCATAATCGACATATATTCATAATCTACATGCCATCTTCTGAGTGGGTACAGAAACACAGGGCTGCATTACGGTCCAGATGGGTGTTTTTAAGTTCAAACTACTAAACTCACATCCTTGAAGAGCAGAGGCAAAGTAGGAACGTAGGTAGAGGCATACAAGTGCCTTCGGTTGAAGATGGCTGTGGGACCTCTTCAAATCTGAGTTGCTAACGGGAGGAGGTAGGGCCCTGAAAATGAGCCAAGGGCACACATTCCATTACAGCCAGAGAAAAACTTGATGTCTGTCATTAAGGACTTTCAAGGGACAGTTCCAGTTCCAGTCTGCCCCTCTTTTGACCAGGGCACCTCTTCTCACCATTAGCATGAATGAGGGTTTTCCTGCCCAGAAGGTCCGTAATTATCCACTTTCTCCTACACATACTTTCTGGGAATTTCCTGGGAAAACAGAATAAAAAAAAGAAAGAAAGAAAGAAAGAAAGAAAGAAAGAAAGAGAGAGAGAAAAAAAAAAGGCTATCTTCAAAAACTCGCTCTTCTTAGCTTCCCGGGATCCAGACCTAAAAATTCTCTCACACTTGTAATCTGAACTTCATCTGTCCCACACTGCCCCCATCCCCACCCCAACCCACCCTGCACTATGAATTCAGACAGCTTGGTAAATGGGCACCTCCACCTCTGGCCTTGGGAATCCCCATCTCTTCAACAGCCCCCTGAACGCTGAGCTCCCTCCCTGCTATTCCACCTTCTGTCTGTCCTCTATCTCTGCTTCAGCGAGCTCCACTTCTCCAGCTGCCCAAGATTCGAGCGAGAAACCAAAGGTTCAAAAGGCTTGCGCTAGTTTCCAAAGGCTTCTGGAAAGACAGGCCAACATGTGTAAATTTATTACAAAGTATGCATATACAAGAAAATCTATGACATTGATGATTTCAAAACATAAAAACATACCACACTGTCCTGATTTTTTGCTAGATGAGGTAATCAAATGCCCAACATACTTTCATTATTAAAAAGGCCACTTTGGTGGATCCTAAAAAATTCACATTCTCAATTTGTATTGACGAATGTGATACACAATGCCAAAATTACAAGTCATCAAAAATTATAAAGCAGCAAAATAAAATAGATCACTGATGTTAAAGAACATTTACATCTGTAAAAGAAAATGAGAATAACAGAGGAAAATTTCTGCAACTGAGTTACTGTCACCTAAAAAAATTATTTGTAAGTGTATAAAAGCTGGGTCAAAGGGATCTTCAGCAAAACTGAAGAATTATTGAGTTTCCCTTTTTCTAAGAGAAACATTTCACAGCTTTCAAGCAAGCATCAGCAAAGTTAAAGACAAAGACCTTAATGTACATTTCACATTGGTTTGTAGGGTCCAGTGGCATGGCCTAGCGGCTAAAGTCCTCGCCTTGAACACACTGATCTGTAAAGTTATAAGCCTACTAACGAAAACTCAGAATAGATTGTATCGCAAATTTAACAGATTTTGAAAATGTATGATAATTTCTTAGATTCTAGTTTAAGACATTTTCAAGGAGGACTTTTTTTAACATGATGAGGTTAGGGGTCTTCGTCAAAAAAAAAAAAAAAACCTAATCATTTATTATTTGGGCCTCCTAGTTCACTAAGGCATTACTTTTAAAGCACTGTAACTTCGTGTCTTATAAGAGGCTAGAAACAATTCAAAAGTTCACAAGGGTATTATTAAGTTAAAACCACTTTAGACAGTTCAAGAGCCCACCGACACAGTTCATCTAAGGTGACAGCTTTGCTACTGAGCTACTGTTCCCATACGACATCATCTTTCCTCAATTTCACTTGAACATTATGAATTCGTACTGGATGAGAGTGGCTGCTTTTTTGAGAAGGGCTAGCTTCATTCACACATTTTCTGGGGCTGTTTTTAATGTTCTTTGATCTGTTAGGTTGGTGGTATTCTTCTCGCTGAGTGCCTGCAGCTGTTCTCATCTTTGAGTTTTGAACTTTTTGCTGCAGCTTATGAACCTGGAGAGAGAGAAAAAAAAAATTCTATTCTAGTCAGAAATACACTAAAAAGCAGGCCCTAAAATATATGGCTTGGATCGAGGGTTTTAAAGATTACCTTAAATTTAAAAGTTCAACTCAGTAAGCTTTTATTTATTGAGCACCTATTATAGGCATAACACTATGCCTAGTTCATAACAGCCCTTGTTTTCAGGAAGCTTGATATTATTATTGGCCACAGCAGAGAGCTACTTGATGTGACATGAAGGTTCCTGGAAAGGACCTCTCTCTGCCTTCTGCTCTAGCGGTGCAGCCACGTTGCAGGTTCAACATACAAAGCCATTGTCTGAATAAAATATTCTAATCCAGGATTCGTCTGTTCAAATGCTACAACTGATAGGTCGTTCACAGTCATTAAGACTTCACACCCAAGAGCAGAAGCCTCTCCATCCCCATCACTCACTACAGCTAGCTAGGTACACATCTCCAAGGCGCAACAAGGCACAGCCTGTTTTGGGAAAGATTGGCAGTGCTTTCAGGAATAAGGTACCATTGAAGAGCCAGGCTTATGGGTGCTAAGAAATTAAAAATCTGCTAATACAAGGGGGCATCATTAATTCATTAGAGGAGAGAAGGCAAAAGAAGGCTCAAAGAATAACCAGAGGGCTGCTAATAAAATTATCTCATCTCACAATTTCCCAGCCATTACTGAAAACAGAATTTACCATTGTTGCTTCTTTTACTTTACACTCTTTCACAGTCATGTAGGAGACCCATGACACTCCAAGGAGATATCTAGCTATGCTCTATTTAACACCTTAATGATGCTTTTCTATCTTTTTACATGCTGTGTATAAGAACCCCACACTTGAGAGGTCACATGGAAACACAACACTGCAGCCAGCTGTACTATCTTTTTATTGTCATCTTTTACTAAGTTTTCTTACACTGTTTTGATGCTTCCTCAGTTTGGAAATTTGTTCTTTTTTAATTTCCATTTTCTTGACTAGATGCTCTAATTCACATTCTATGTCGCCATAGACTGAGTGGCTTTCAGTGTCCTTCATTTGTCTCAGTAGTTCTTGGTGCTCCCTAGGAAAGAAAAACAAATTTCAAGCATTTTGACAGTTTGCTGTATAAGTCTTAGCCATACTAAAAACTGTGCCTAAACATAAATTTTACTGAGTTAAATAATAATCTTAAAAAAACCAATCGCCTTCCTCAGGACTATATAATTAAATATATGATAAATGTAATTAGATTCTTGTGACTTGAGATTACATACATTTAGACTTAAGACAATCTGCCAAACAACTTAAAAAAAAATCTGAATTTGGGACCGACATCGTAGTGTAGTGGCTAAAGTCCTTGCCTTGACTGCGCTGGGATCCCTATAGGTCATGGTTCTAATCCTGGCAGCCCTGCTACACATCCAGCTCCCTGCTTGTGGCCTGGGAAAGCAGTCAAGAATGGCCCAAAGCCTTGGAATCCTGCCCCTGCAATGGGAGACCCAGAAGATGCTCCTGGCTCCTGACTTCAGATTGGCTCAGTACTGGCTGTCACAGCTACTTGGGGAGTGAATCAGTGGACAGAACATTCTTCCTCTCTGTATATCTGCTTTCCAATAAAAATAAATCTTAAAAAAAATGTATGAATTCTTGATGCCCACAGTGACATGCTGTAAAATGCTATGATGTCCTTAGCTAGAGGCACTAAAGGATCCTTCAGTTCCAATTCTGGAATTATTGATGAAGGATTTTTGGAAGCGTTCCTGGGCCAGAAGTATATGTCCAAGAGACTTTTAGGTTTGGAATGAGCCGTCTCAATGAAATAGTGTGAAAACAAAACAACTAGTTCTATCTTCTAGAGGTCTTAGCTGAAGTAGTTGTGGCCAAATTGTATCATTGTGGAACCTCTTTTGAATATGTATTTAAACAAGAGGCATAATCCAATGTATCCCATCCACAATCTTCCTTACTACAGATGTTGCATTTAACAACAACATTCTAAAAAACGAAAGAACTTTTCTCAGGAAAGCGTTTGTGAATTATAATCTAAGTTCACCAGACCATGTTTACTAAAATAATAGTAGTATTTGCTTGTCGGTCCTGATCCTGAGAATACAGAAACTCTTTAGATTAGAAAAGCAGTAACTATATACATTTAAAAACTTAGTATGAATAAAAATCAGTGACAATAAATTTGTACACAAAAATAAAATAAGCACAAATGACTTAAAAAGTAAGACTTTAAGATTCTAAATGGCACTGCTCTCTCAGGACTGAGAGGAAAATCTAAATTGCTTGCTACTTCTGCTAAACAATAAAAAATACTTACACACACATTTGGTCCAGCTCATCTTGCATTGCCATCAAAAGTTCAGACAAATTGTCACACATGGAAGTAGACTTTGCTGAGTCAGAAGCAAAAGCTTTACACAAGGACGTTTTCCTAGTAGGCCTGCACAAACATCCACCATGCTCGGCGACCTCAGGTTTCTGCAGCACCTGCGGCCTACGCTGCTGCATCGTGTGCAGCAGACTGTGCACACTTGCATTTGCAGAACTGCCTGTGGTGGCAGGCTTAAGGGAAAAAGAAAAGAGCTGAGAATTTTCAATGACTGGTGCTATTTAAACAGTACTTACAAAACGCAGGATTTTTTTTAAACAATTATATTTTTGTTTCCCACTTACCTTTTCAGTCTCAAAAGGCAGTGCTTCAAACTTTGAATAAGTCGGGTGAGGGGATCCTCTCTTCAGACATTTAGCTTTCTAAAGATTGACAGGTAGAAAAAGTCAACAAAAATTATTTTAGAATGTGTTTATGAACTCAAAACTCAATATAAACAAAGAGTACAATTTGCAAACAGGTAACACACAGATATTTCACTGAAGAAGACATGGCAAATAAACATTAAAAGGTATCTTTTAGGAAAAAACAAGTCAAAATTATAAATGTAGGGGTTGGGATTAAGCTGTGGCTTGGGATGCCTCTTTTGCATATCAGAATACTGATTGAATCCTAGCTCTTCCAGTTCTGATCCAGCTCCCTGCTAACTCGGCCTGGTAGGCAGTATGTGATGGGTCAGGTGCTTGGGTCCCTACCACAAACGTGGAGAAATCCAAAGAGAGCCCCAGGATCCAAATTTTGCACTGAAGAACCTGGCTGTTATGGGCAGTTGGTGAAGCACTGGTTCAGACTGTTCTCGCTCTTCCTTCCTTTCCCTCTCCCTCTATATTGCCCTCTTTCCTCTATTTTAAGTAGACAGAAACAAATAAACTGCATTAATATTGAAAAGATCCAAAACAGAAAACAGATTTGACACCTAATGTTGGTAAGGATGCAAACTGGATCACTCATATACTGTTGGTGGGAATATTAAATGGCACAGAACTGGACGATAGCTTTGGAGCACAGTTTGACAGTTCACTGTAACACTAAGCATGTCCTTATCATATGACCCAGCCGCTATACCCTTTAGCATTTATCCCAAGGAAATGAAAACTCAGTTAACATAAAACCTATATACAAAAACATCCTTGAAGAGAATAATGCTACTGTATGATCCTTGTCACAGAAGAAGTTATAAGGAAACAAAACTTTTTTGAAGAGATGAAAATAAAAATAAAAATATTGGCCCAGGTGCGATAGCATAGTGATTAAAGTCCTTGCGTTGAATCTGCCAGGATCCCATATGGGTGCCGGTTCTAACCTCAGTAGCCCTGCTTCCCATCCAGCTCCCTGCTTGTGGCCTTGGAGGGCAGTCGAGGATGGCCCAAAGCCTTGGGTTCCTGTGCCCATGTGGGAGACCCAGAAGAAGTTCCTGGCTCTTGGCTTTGGATTGGCTGAGCTCCAGCCATTGCAGTCACTTGGGGAGTGAATCATTGGACGGAAGATCTTCCTCTCTGTCTCTCCTAATCTCTGTATATCCGCCTTTCCAATAAAAAAAATAATAATAATAATAAAAATAAATCTTTAAAAAAAATAAAATAAATCTTAAAAAAAATATCAAAATCCATGACATGTAGCAAAAGCAGTATTGGACATTATAATATCAGATGCTTACAAGAAATAAAAATATCTCAAATAAGTGATCTAATAATGCATCTTAAGGACTCATTAAAAAAGAAAAAAATGAATAGGAGCCAAGAAATGATAAAATCATGGCTAAAATGAATGAAATTAAAACTATATTATAACCACAAATTACAACAAGAAAGAGACATTCTTTAAGAAGATGAATGAAACAGACTTCTAGCCAGACTAGCAAAGAAAAGCAAGATAGAAAAAGCAGGTAAAATTAGAGATGGAAAAGAAAACATTCCAAGAAACCAGTAAGATGATCTTTTCTTGCTGAATTAAGATTATTTTTTCAGTGATTCAATGGTCACTCAGTACCATGTTATTTAACTTCAAGTTGCAAATTTTCTGTTTTCCTTCTTGTTGATTTAACTATGTAATAATATAGGGGAAATTAGTTGGGGGAAGAGTTTGGGGAGGAGAAATCTCAGAGCCTATGGAACTGTATCTTTTTTTTAATTATTTTTTATTGTTCTATTTTTAAAAATATTTTTCCTTCTATTTTAGTTTTAATTTTATGCTACAATTCCATAGGCTCTGGGATTTCCCTTACCCCCTCTAAATTCCCTCCACCCAGCTGATTCCCCCATATTATTACAATAGTATAGTCCTTCATAAGCAATCATAAGTCCATCATTCTGCTATTTATGTGTATCCTGACATTGTAGATACAGACAGTGGCAGACAGTCCAGAATCCTACTGTCAAGACATAGCCAACAGTTTAACTGGGAGTCCATATTTGATTTAGAACTAGAGATGCACACTGCATTGTATCTTCACATTTGGACATGATAGTTCTATTACACAGTTACCATATATTTCCTTAAACGAAAAGCCATGAAACAAAATCAACAACAGGAATAAAGTTTAAAAAATTGATATCACCATGGAGTTAAGTAATATGCTACTGGATAACCAATGTGTTGATGAAAAAATAAAACAGAAAACAAAATCCTTCTTGGGGAAAATGGTGCTCTGTATGATCTTTGAGTCAGTGAAGAATCTGGTAAGAGAAAGAAACTATTTTGAAGAAAGGAAAGTAAAAAATCAAAAGTATCAAAACCCATGGATTGCAGCAAAAACAGTATTTTAAGGGGTATTGATCTCATATTTTGCATGAAGGCTGCTTTATATTAGAGAGAGCATATGATATTTGTCCTTTTGGGATTGACTTATTTCACTGAGCATAATGGTCTCCAGTTGGGACCATTTGGTCAGAAAATGTAGAATTTCATTCTTTTTAATGGCTGAGTAGTATTCCATGGAGTAGATGTACTACAGTTTCTTTTACCACTCCTTTTTGGACGAGTGTCTGGGTTGTTTCCATGTTTTTGCTATTGCAGATTGTGCTGCTGTAAACATAGGATTACAGATCCCTTTCTCATAGGCAGATTTAACTTCCTTTGGATATATTCCTAGGAGCGGGATACCTGGGTCAAATGGCAATAAAGAAAAGCTGAAAGACTTCACCTCCTCCAGACCTGCTATACAAATGATGCTTAAAGGTGTTCTCTTAACAGAGAAAAGGAATCGCTTCTACTAAAACCAAAGGCAAATGGCAGAGAACATCCCAGTAAAATGACAAAAGACTAAATAAAACAATAAACAAACCCATTGCTAAAATGACTGGACCAAACTGTCACCTATCCATATTAACCCTGAATGTCAACCAAATGTCATAGATTAATGGACTGGACCAAAGAACAAAACTCATCTGTTACCTAACAGAAAGACATCTCACCAAAAAAGATCAGCGGAAACTGAAAGGAAAAGGATGGAAAAACATATTCCAGGTTAATGGTAATGAAACATGAGCAGATAGAGCCATTTTTTAAAATCAGATAATATAGAATTTGATGTAAAAAACATTAAAAGATGAAGCAGGACACCACATAATGATCGAAGGATCCATCCACCAAGAAGAGAACACCATAATAAATGTGTGCGCCCCAAATGTTAGGGCACCTAGCTATGTGAAACAAATATTAATGAATTTAAGTTGAGAAATTGACTCCAATACAATAGTGTGGGACCTTAATAACCCATTTACATCAATGGACAGACTGATGAGACTGAAACTTAGTAAGGAAACAACAGAACTCACCTAGACACTAGAACAGATGAACTTAGTTGATATCTACCAAACCTTTCATTCTACAGAGAATACACTTTTTTTTTTATCATGATATAAAACTTTCTCTAGGACTGACCACATTATAGGCCACAAAACAAGTCTCAACAAATTTAAAAAAAATCAGACCATCAGAGTGAAACTAGAGAACAATAAGTCAAAACACCCAGTAAGAGACTGAAATACCTAGAGATTGAATAACATGCTACTAAATGAGCAATGAGTTAAAGAGGAAATTAAAAAATTGCTTGAAACAAATGAAGGCATCAACACAACACATCAAACTTATATGACACAATCAAGGCAGTGTTAAGAGGAAAGTTCATCTCAATCAATGCCTATGTTAAGAAAATTAGAAAAGCACCAAGCAATGAGCCAACATTACAGTTGAAGGAGCTAGAAAAACAACAGCAAACCATTACCAACATTAGCAGGAAAAAAAGAAATAACCAAAATAAGGGAAGAAATAAACCAAACAGAGACCAAAAGAACAATACATAAGATCAATGAATCAAAGAGCTAGTTCTTTGAGAAAAATCAATAAAATACACTCCCCACTGGCCCAACTAATCAGAAAAAGAAGAAGAAATGATCAACAACATCAGAGACGACAAAGGAAATATAGCAACAGATTTTCTGGACATACATAGAATTATAAGGAACCATTAAAAACAATATATGCCAACAAATCAAAAGATCTAGAAGAAACTGATCAATTTTTGAACACATATAATCCCACCAAATTTAATCATGAGGCTATTAATAATCTAAACAGATCTACAACATGGAGTGAAATCAAATCAGCAACTAAAGCCCTTCCAACAAAGAAAAGTCCTGGTTGTATTTTAAAAATTGAAAAAAATCCCTATATACAGATGTTCATAGCAGCTTTATTTCTAAGAGCTATAAATGGAAATAATCCAAATATCCTTCAAAAGGGGAACAGTAAAACTGTGATATATCTATAACATGAAATTCTATGTGGAAATAAAAATAATATATTGACTCAAGTAACAACTTGGATGACGTAACTGCACTTATCTAATATTTCTGAAATAACTATAGAGATGGTAAGCAGATTAGAGGTTGACAGACAGCAGGAAAGCAGACATGTTGCAACAGAGATTGCATAAAGGAGTCTTACAATGGTGGAATACTTGTATCTCTTGACTGTTAGAGGAATGCACATGTGATAACTCTAGAAAGCTATCATGCTGCTGTTAGTTACCACCCAGAATTACAACTCTGATCCTGCTTTATTCTTAGAACCTTCAATGGTTCCCAGCTGCTTTTAGGATATAAGTTAAAATTTTTAACACAGTAGTGAAGGCCAGCCACAATCTTTCTTTTTCATTCAGTCATTCAATTGAAAGGCAGAAAATAAAGAGAGAATGAGAGAAAGGAAGGAACGAAAGAAGGAAGAGAAAGGAGGGAGAAAGAGAAGGAAGGGAGAAGCAGAGAAGCAAAGAGGCGGGGAAAGAGAGAGAGAGAGAGATCTTCCATCGGCTGGTTCACTTTCTAAATGCCTTTCACAGCTACGAGATAGAAACTCAGTCTAGGTCTCCCACAGGGGGATAGGGATCCAAGTATACCAGCTACTGCCCTGCTGCCTCCCAGGATGCTTATTAGTAGGAAGCTGGAATGGAACGTGCAGCCAGCACTCCATTTCATTTACACCTCATACACATAACATGAATATAATTTTATACAGCTGCATTTGACTGTGAGGTGCTACATGAGGGCATTCTGTGGAACTTTCCAGTTTCAGCATCTTGTCAACACTGACAAGGTTCTGAATTTGGAAGCATTCTGGATTTGGGATTATCAAATTAGGGAGTTCACCCTGTAACTGACCCTGTCAACCCTTTTGAATCCTCCAAGCCTGTCTTTAAGGCTGCTTCTTGCATCACCGTTAACATTTCCCTTCATCTGAAAAGTACCATAGTACTTTGTCCATATACTGTTAAGCTTTCATTATATTGTCATACACTTGTATATTTACCTATTTCTCATAAAATCCAGAATTACTCATCTCTTCTTCACATACCAGTCTATGTACATGTAGATACAGGCATAGGAATGGGTGTTTACTTCTGTCGTTAAGACACCAGCCTCCCACACCTGAATGTCTAGGTTTGAGTCTGGCCCTGTTCTCACTGTTCCTCATTTTAGCTTCCTGCCAATGCACATTCTGGAAGGTAGCAGAGGACGACTCAAGTGCTGGGGCTCTGCTACCATCTTGGAGAGCTGGACTGAGTTCCCAATTTCCAACTTTGCCCTAGCTCAGTTTTTGCTGTTCCAAGCATCCGGGGAGGTGAACTAGAGGATTAGAGCTCTCTCTGCTCTCTCTGATTGCCTCTATCTGACTTTCAAACAAAACAAAACAAAACAAAACAAAACAAAACAAAACAAAACAAAACAAAACACAAGTTGATTGAACTATGTCTCGAATATGGAGAAGGATAAGATGAACAGGTCACAGCATCTACTTAATTGACAGTCTCCTTTCATGTTTAAAGACAGACATTATTTGTAGACATTATTAAAAATATGTACTTTTATGAAGGGATCTTAGTCTGTTTAATTTCTCTCTTGTCTTTCAGCAGCAACCTTTTTAAGTTTCTTTTACTCCTTAACCCTCCCTCTTTACTTTCACATTCTTCATAATAAACAAGTACATTTAAAAAATTTCCACTAACTCATCAGAGAAAGAATGCTATAAAGCTAAAAATAAATAAATAAAAAGAACTCAAACTCAGTGTTTGTTCCACTTGAAAATCACTTTGTAGTTTCTTTCTCTCTCTCACTTGCAATGAGAAATTTTATTTATCATTACATATATAAAACTCTTAAAAACTGGAGAAATAGCATGACAACCAGGGCCAAGCGAGCTGAAGCCAGAACCAAGAACTCCATTCAAATTTCCCACATGGATGGAAGGGAACTTACTACTTATCCATTATCTGCTGCCTTCCCTAGCACATCAGAGCAAAGCTGGATGGGAGACCATGTAGCTGGACTTGAACCAGCACTCCTATATGGGAAGTAGGCATCCCAAGCAGCTGCTTAAACCACTGTACCACAAAGTCTACCCTAGTCATTGGACTAAGTAAGTAATAAGCAACTCTTTTTGTTGTAAAAGAGTAACCACAGTAAAGTAGAACTCTTTCTTTCCATTATTACATTCACTAGATAATTACATAGTAGTACTAAAAAAAATCTCAAATAGTACCTCTGGCTCCCATAAATACTTAATACTTGCATATTGAATAAAGTAATAATGGCCATCAAAACATAATTACAGAATGATATGACTACAAGGGATTAAAATCTTTCTGGGACCACTAAATATAACAATAAAGTTTATTTAATGTTTTTAAACATTTGAGAATATTTCAAAAGTTTATGGAAGATGAAATTTTTGGTGATCATTTATATGTATGGGTTTCAGTATTTTTTGTACTAAAGCAAACATATTTTGATTCTATTTTCCATGAAATTTTAGGAAGATTCTCTAATATCTAAAACATCAGTTCATCGAAACAAAGTACTGCCCAATTTATAAAGTAATAACTCTCCAAATTTTACTTAGGTAAACGTAAAGGACATGAGAATAGGAAGAACAAGTAACAATAAACTCCCTAAGTAAATAACTTCATACTCCTGTGACTTCAGAAAGCTGTTAAGAGACAAAATCCTTTTCTAATTGTTCCTGTGTTACAGAAGACCATTTTCAAGATCTACTGTGTTATCAGCATCTATTGTGTTTTTGAACACTTTTTAGATAAAACAAATATATTCTGTAAGAGTCTGAAAGCAGGGAAATGTTTGTTTTTTGTTAGGTCACAAAGACAGCCCTACGTCCATTACATGCTCATTTTTGCTTTGCTTGTCAACAAAATGGGGACTACATTTTGTGCATGACTGTTCTTACTCTCTTCAGTCTAGGATCTAGGCAATTTTCTGTTTTTATATTCCAAACCAACATGGCTTCCCTCATTTCACAGCATTACTATATGTCTACTAATAAAAATCTCTTCAAGCCTTGTCTGGAAATGAGCAATAATACATATTAAAAGAGTAAGTAAATAAGAATTAGTAAATAGGAAAGTTCTGCTTGGGAAAAAGGTTTGTATGCATACTTTTGATGATTTCTTCTTTTCCTTGGAGTTTTTTGGATTAGAAACTGAAGACATTAGAATTTTACTGATTTCAAGTCCGGTCTGAAGCTATAACATTAAACAAAAGAAGTTAAAATGTTGATTTGCAGCAAGTTTCCTCAAAAATATTTAAATGAGAGATCAGGTCTAATTTTATAAAAATGCTTTTTGAGGAAAGAAAATTGCAAGTACAATTTGTATGTGTATGAGTCATTAAGTCTACTGGTAATGGCAATCATTGCCTCTTTATGAGAGCGTGACTTCTTTAATATATGCATAAATCTACCAAGCTGAAAACAAACTAGCATAGGGTTCTTTCAATGGAAAATATATGGTTCTGTCAAGATTTCCAAAGACTTCCTGGCAGTGCATTCAAAGATAAAATAACGTATTGACTGACTCAGAATTTTATTACTAGAGCAGAAAGTGACAAAATTAACAACCCAGGAAGCAGAGGTTACATTCCAGATTATAGGCTTCGGTTAATGAGAACAAAGTGCAATAAAACACGCAGCATTCTAATCACCTCAGAAGCCTTGTCTTGAAATAGCTTTCGATGATGTTCTTCCTCCTTAAGTTTTTCCTCTAGCTGTTTAATTTTGTCCTGCAAAAGATTTTTTTAAAAATGAGAATGATAATATAAAAACTATAACCAAATATCCTTTGTTCCTTTTCCAAACAGAAGGGTCTTAATTCTTAGAGCTTGGCAAACTAAAGCAGAGAGTAAGAAAAAGGAATGGCGGGAGATGCTCTAACATTTCTCTTGGCTTTCTTTCCATGCTTTACCTGCTACTACATAAAGGAGACAAAAGGAAAGCACAGAACAGACACATACACCTGAGGCAGCAAAATCATAAAGATGACACTGTTGAGGTCTGCACGGTTAAACAGTTAGCAATCTTGGGTATCAATGTTTCACTCAAATCCAAGAAAAATAATGCATGTCCACCTTGTATATATGAACAGGATATAACTGTTGGAGAAAAGAGATAGCAGGAAGATAGCTGAGAAATGTAGAATGGAGCCTTTGTTACTTAAAAGATTATATTACATTTAGAAAAACATGAGTGTTACAGGGAACAATGAAGACAAAAAGAAATGAATATGACTTGATGCTATATGACCTTATATAAATAAGCACTACTTCTTATACTAAAGAGGACAGTACTATTTCAAAAAGAGAACTCAATAATAGGAAGTAGGACTTCTTCAAGAAAAATCCTAGGAAATGGAAGAAGGGGGAGAGGTCTGGGATGGGATTAACTGAACTGCAAGTAGTGAAAGGCAATCTTCAATACCCTTTAGGTAAACCATCTGACAGATGAAAATGTTTTGCCTTCTTACGAAAACTCAAAAATCACAATTTCACATCAAAAGACAAGCTCATTCATGCTGTGACAGACACACTGCTTCTTCTTTACAGGAAAGAATTCACATCTGGATGGCTAACAGTTATGAAAGAAGCCTTATAAAGGTAAGATTTACTGTACACTCTCATACAGGGCCAATTACGTTTGACACTAAAGACACAGTCCTTGGCACCATCACTTCCAAAAAAAGGGGAGGGGGGAGCTTACCTCAGCAGTTTTCTGAGTTGCTGTAAGTCTAAGACATTCTTTTTCTAAGACATCAAGCTTTTCAAGTTTTGCATGCAGCTTCATCTGATCCTGCTCTTTCTCCCTTTGAAGTAGGGCCTAGAAAGGATAAAACGAAACCTGGATTTGGCAAGCGATGCCAAAGGATCAAGGATCTGGCAAAAAGGATTTGGCAAACTGATACCAGAGGATCAAGTGTACCACAATTTCTGAGAATTCAAACCACAGCTTGCGTACTTCATTAGAAACATACACAAACATGTACTTACATTAAGTGTTTACAAGCAAAAAAAAAAAAACCCTAAATATTTTAAAGCCATAAAAATGCCAAAAATAATTAAGCAAAATATCATCAAATTGAATCAAGCCATGAAGATAAAGAATAATATGTCAACTGGGGCACACATCAGGAATGCAAGGTTGGTTAACATTTGAAAACCCATCAATGTAATTTACTATGTTAATAATATAGAAAAATACTATATGATTTTTTAATACATGCAGAAAAAGCTGCAAAAGCTGATATTCATTCATTATAAAAACACAGATTTTTCACAACTTAATAAGTAGCTATGAAAAGCTAATCTACTTAATAGTATAGGTCTAGTAGTTTCCCCCAAAGATCAGGAACAAAGCAAGAATGTCAATACTTACCACTTCCACTTTTTACCTGTAATAGCCAATACCACAAGGTAAGAAAAGGACAATAAAAATTGAAAAGGAAGAAATATACTTGTCTTTATTCACAGATTACTGTGTATTAAAAAATCCTTAGAAAATATGAGAATTACTAGAACAAATTTTATCAAGATCACAAGATACAAGATTATACAAAAATCAGTTAAAATTTTATATGCTAGCAATAGACACATGAAGAATCAAATTAAAATACTATTCACAATTGTATTAAAAGCATAAAATGTTTAGAGCTACATTTAACAAAAGAGGTATAAAGCTTTCTCTCATTAACAACCACAAGCCCAGGGCTGGCATTTGAGTGGTTAAGATGCCTCTTGGGACCCCTGCATCCTCTATTTGAGTGGCTGCACTTTTTTGTCTAACTTGCTGATAACACATACCCTGGAAGGCTGGGAAGGATGGCCCAGGTACCTTGGTCCCTACCACCTACATGGGCGACCTGGAATAAATAGTAGGGTCCTGGCTGTTAACTTGGGAAGTGAACCAGTGGATGGAAGGAATATCTTTCTGTCTCCTACCTTTCAAATAAAAACAAATAAAATAACTAATTTAAAAGAACCCCACAGGAGCTGGTGGGGTTTCCCAAGCATCTACATGTAGCTCCCTGCTAACAGCCTGGAACAAACAACAGAACATGGCCCACAAGTTTTACCTCTGGCTACCCACTTGCAAGACCTGGATGAAGCTCCCAACTGGAGACACCATTATGCTCAGTGAAATAAGTCAATCCCAAGTGGGAGATCTGGGCCAAGATCCTTTGTTCCAAGCTGTAGCCTGGTTCAGCCCTGTGATGGGCATATGGGAGGTGAATTAGTGAATGAAAGCTCTGTCTGTATGTCTCTGCTAATAAAACGAAATCAAATGAAATAGTTTTTAAAAAAGTACTCCAGCAAGTTAGTGGGAAAGCTAAAGTTTTGACAAAATAGTATTGGAACAACTGGCTATCTAAAACCGAGTACATTTTCTTACTATGTAGAAATTAGTTCCAGACAAATCACAGACCTAAAATCAAAAATAAAAACTAAAAAGCAACTAGAAAAGTTTATAAGATTAAATACACCATGACTCAGCAGTTCTATTTTTTTGATATTTACCCAAAGGAAGCCAGCAAACTGTGGCATTTGTACATTAAAATTATATACAGCATAGACAGGAGTGAACTACTGACATATACAATATAGGTAAATCAGAAAAACTTAATTCTGAGTGAAATAATCAGATTAAAAGTTATATATTCCACATGACTCCATTTGTATGAAGTTTTGGAACCAGCAAAATTAGTCTAAGGTAAAAATAAATGTAGTGTCTTATTGGGAGCTGGGGAACTGCAGAGAATAACTTGAAAGAGAGCTGGGGATTCTCTAGGAGAATGAAAATGTTCTATTAACTGATAAGAATGTGAATTCAATGACACATGTTGTATTTAGTGCAGATATGCACACTTATAGTTTGTGCATTTCAATGTATGAAAATTACACAAGTAAAACATTTTTAAAACTGCTGAAAGTTACTGATCTCATTGTTTGGTTCGAATAGGAGTTTCCAGGTCACTAGAATTTATATGCTAAACTTTCTAAGATAAAGTGGTTACCCTTGTTGGCTATCCTATCCTAAGTTATTCCATAATTGTTAAAACTTTAAAATTTCCCAAATCTAACAGATATAACGCTTTTGTTGCTTCAATTTGCACTTTCCTGTTTATTAATGAACTTCATCATCTTTTCTATAAATGGTGAGGCATTTGTGATTCCTGTATGCTCATTTTTCTAGTTTTGCTGTTTTTTTACATGTTGTTTTTATCATCATTTTAAAATGAATTTTATTATATGTTTAAATAACACAAAGCATTATTACTGCTATTATATATAGTATTCATATTGACTTGTCCTCATATTTAATATCTTCTTTTTAAGAAGATTAATTGATGTCTTTATTTGAAAGGCAGATTGACAAGCTCAGAAAGTGAGGGAGCTTTCCCATCTGCTAATTCACTTTCCAATAGGTACAACCACGGGGGCTGGTCCAAGTCAAAGCCAGGAGCTCAGAACTCCATCTGTTCTCCCATGTGGGTGGATGGGCCCAAGTACTTGAGCCATCTTCAGCTGCTTTCTCAGCAGCATCAGCAGGCAGCCGGATATGAAGTTGAGGGCTGGGACTTAAACTGGCATTTCAACCTAGAATGCTGGCATCATGAGTGTCGGATTAATCCAATGTGCCATAACAACAGCCCCATTATTTACCATCACCATCACTCTTCTTTCTGTTTCTGCGTCTCCAACCTTCTAAAGAAGATAACTTTCCTTCTGTCTGAACAATATCCATTAATGTTCTTTTTACTGTGGATCTATTAGTAACAAATTATATCAGTCTGTTAGTCTTGAACGTCTTTATTTCTAAAAAATATTTGTCCAAATCAAAGAATTCTGGATTGCAGAAGACATGGTTTTTAAGACATGGTTTTTAAGACATGGTTTTATCAATCTACTGGCTTCTCTATTCAGCACTGAGAAATCAGTTACCAATTTGTGCCTCTGAGTGCAATTTGTTTTCTGATTCTTATAAGATCTTATTTTTTTTTTGGGCCCAGCGCGGTGGCGCAAGTGGTTAAAGGTCCTCGCCTTGCACACCCGGGATCCCATATGGGCGCCAGTTCTAACCCCGGCAGCCCCGCTTCCCTTCCAGCTCCCTGCCTGTGGCCTGGGAAGGCAGTCGAGGACGGCCCAAAGCTTTGGGACCCTGCACCCGCGTGGGAGACCCGGAAGAGGCTCCTGGCTTCGGATTGGCATAGTATCGGCCCGTTGTGCTCACTTGGGGAGTGAATCATCGGATGGAAGATCTTCCTCTCTCTCTCCTCTCTGTATATCCGCCTTTCCAATGAAAAAATAATAAAAATAAATCTTTTTAAAAAAAAAGATCTTATTTTTGTTTTATTATTTACTTTATTTACTTTACTTTACTTTACTTTACTTTACTTGAGGAATCTAGGTATAGCTTTTATGCCTTTCCTGCTTTGGTTTAAAGGGCTTTTTGAGTCTGTGGCATGACTTATTAAGTCAGTTTTAGAAACATTTCAGACATGATCTCATTAAATACTGCTTCTGTCTTACTCTCCCTTACTTTTCCTCTGAAACCCCAATTACACATAGGACAGACCTTCTCACACTTCCTCTGTATCTTCTTCTGTTTTCTAAATTTATTTTGTTTACACTTTACGCAGTTTCTCCTTCCAGTTCACTAATTCTATTCTAATCTGTAATTAAATCCATGCACTGATTTCTATATTTTGGTTACTGAGATTGTTTTAGTTTTATAATTTTTCTACTTTTATGGTTACCAATGCTTGTCGAAACATTTTTTTTTCTTTCATTAATTCATTCAAGGTTTGTTATTTAAAAGGTGGAGATACGAGAGAGAGAGAGAGAGAGAGAGAGAGAGAGCAGGTGGAAGGATGGAAGGATTGGAATGGGGAAGACTGAGAAAGAGAGAGAAGGAAGGCAGGAGGGAGGTAGAGGAGAATGAGAGAGAATCACCGTCCTCTGCTTCACTGTTCAAACAGTTAACAGCCAGCACAGGTCCCAGTGCTCCCTTCAGGTCTCCCATGTGAGTGGCAGTGCCCCAGGCATCTGGGTCACCTTCCAATGCTTTCTCAGGAGCATTAGCAAGGAGCTGAACTGGAAAGGGAGTAGCTGGGACTCAAACCAGCACTCCTCCATGTGATGCTGGCCATTGCAGGTGTCAGTCCATGATTGGCTTGCTCCACTACAACACTGGCTCCTCTACTGTAATTTTCAACCTTCTAAAAATATTCTCAATCACAGCAAGCAAAATCATTTTAAAGCTAGTCAAAATTAGTATCTGTTCAGGATAGTATGAGAAAATGTCTAGATTATTTGTTTTGTATGCAATTTCTTGTTGACAGTATCTCATCTTCTACTGCCTGGCTATCTCTGACTGAAAGTTGCTCATCGCACTGAAGAAATGTTTGCAGAAATAATGTGGGCACCCTGGGGATATTAGTAATTCAGGAACATTTAATCCAATTTCAGGCCACCTTGACAACCTGGAGCAGAGTTGTAATCTGATTTCCTTTCTTGTTCACCCTTTCAAAGTTTTAGAGCACAAGAGATTCGCTGAAGTTTCTACTCTAGATAGACCTCAAACCCCGATTCTGATTTTCTTAGCCTTAGCAGGATGGTTGTCAAAGGCATTATTCATGTTCCCAATACCTTTTCTAGAATCTAAAATGCCCTCCAAAGAAGGAGTCTCAATTTCTTCAACTTAAATCTATACACAGATTTCAACTGGGTGTTTTTTTTTTTTTTAAATCACCTTGTTGGTTTTGTAACACATTTGTGAATTTCTCCCTTTTTGCTTTTAGTATTCTATTTTTTTCTATTCAGGATTTATTTATTTATTTGAATGAACGACAGAGGGATCTTCCATTGGTGGCTCTCTCCTCCAAATGGACTGTAACAGCTGGGACTAGGCCAGACCAGACAGGAGCCAGGAGCTTCGTCTGGGTTTCCCATATGGGTGGCAGGGATTTATGTACTTGAGACACCATCTTCTGCTTCCAAGGCATATTAGCAGAAGTTGGTTTGGGGGCAGGGCAGCTGAGACTCCAATTGGTAGATCAACATGAGATGTAAGTGCCATAAGCAGCATTACAACATTCACCTAATTTTTCTTAGTTTACCATCCAGAAGAATTGTTTCAAATGATTTAACCTTGCCATTACTGTAAGTTAATATCTATATATAATTTTATATTCTACTCAATTAAGGTCAAGACAATTTTTCCATGGTGTTTTTTAAAAAACATTAAATTATATTATCATTTCTTTAGAAAATATGCTCACCTGCTGTTCTAGAATCATATTCTTTTCTCGCTCTACATTGAGAACCATTCTCTTTGTGTATTCCAGTTGCTTTTCTAGAAGAGTGCAACGAGATTGTGCTGAGCTTAGCTGTATACTTATATCTATTAACAAGAAAAAAAATGAGTCAATTGATTATTATATAGGTTACAAACCCAATCAACAAAACAAATGTATCAAGTAATTCAATCAAGAGCAGAACGTTCAAGGCCTCTTTCAGTTCCTAATATGAACTCCCGGGGGCTTATGAATATACATCTTGTGAATATCTCATTAGCTATGTTACTGATTTAACACTGCCTTTCCCTCAAATCCTAGAGGGCAGAAAGGGGAGAGTGACAATGACTTCTAAGAAGACAAAATTCGGGCCCGGCGCGGTGGCGCAAGTGGTTAAGTCCTCGCCTTGCACGCCCGGGATCCCATATGGGCGCCGGTTCTAATCCCGGCAGCCCCGCTTCCCTTCCAGCTCCCTGCCTGTGGCCTGGGAAAGCAGTTGAGGACGGCCCAAAGCTTTGGGACCCTGCACCCGCGTGGGAGACCCGGAAGAGGCTCCTGGCTTCGGATTGGCATAGTATCGGCCCGTTGCGGCTCACTTGGGGAGTGAATCATCGGATGGAAGATCTTCCTCTCTGTCTCTCCTCTCTGTATATCCGCCTTTCCAATAAAAAATAATAAAAATAAATCTTTAAAAAAAAAAAAAAAAAAAGAAGACAAAATTCCTGATTGTTCTGGGAAATAGCAAGATGTATGTTGGTACTTGAAGAAGTTAGAAAATGGAATGAAAAGATCAGTTCATTTTGGTGCAAAACAATTTTTGAAATCTACTTCATGAAGTCTCCAACCAATACACTTCTTCTCTTTCAGGAAACTCAGGTACATACATCCCATCACTCCATTTTCCTCTGCTCTTGACTGCTCCCAGCCCAGTGAGCCTCATAGGGATAAACAACCTATCTGTAATCCTGCAACACTTTTCTTCCCACAGTTCTAACTCTCCTCTCTCCCTACTTCTTCGTTCTACTTGTAAGCTGGAACACAAAGTCAGGACTTATTTATAAGAGTAAGTGTAATACTATAAGGAAAAAACGAAAGTTCTGAATGTTTAAGTGAAATTATAGAGAGCATATACTTTGTGCATTTCCAAAGCTCTTGGGACCACATGTCACTTCCCTAATTTCCACAGATGCCACAACTACCTTTTTCCTCTAATTAACCCAATTTTCCTCTCATTAGATAGATTTCTTTGATTCTTCTATTGTTTTTTATATTAATTTCTAGTGTCACTTTATAAATTTCCAATTATGAGCATTAGTGTTAATGGGAATGTAAAATATTTTGTGGGTTAAATTGGATTCTGTTGGTTATTCTGAAAATATTTTAATTTATTTTCACAATTTGCTTAAAAATCTAACTTTTTTGCAAAATGAAGATTGATAAACTGGAAAAAGTGGCTTAGTTGTAGTATATTCAATGCTACACTCATTTTTCTGCACAGATGGCAGTGGCCGAGAGGCCTCAAAGCCTCAATGTTTCTTAGAACAAAGGTATCTGAACCTGCTTAGTGTGGACTTATTACTTTCAAATAGTAAACTTTGGTAATCCCTCATTTCTAAGAACTATTGTTTTCGTTTGCTTGCTTTTACCTTTTTTCTGCTTAATCAGCTCCTGGTGTGCCAGATTTCTTTCATTTGTTTCATTCTGCAAGGCCTTTTTGTATTGTGCCGCCTCTCTCGAAAGAATGTTCAGGTTATCTTCAGCTTGTGTTCGCTCTAGCTCTAAACGATGAATCTTTTCCTGAAGGGTTCTTAAGGCCAAAACAAGAGCTGTTGGGAAAGAATTTGCTTGATGCTTTGAGTGAGAATTTTAAAACATTTACAATTACAGAAACATATAAAAAGGCAGCATGTTTTGCTAATAAGTCAAAAGATTTACAAGTAGGGCCTAGCACGGTAGCCTAGTGGCTGAAGTCCTTGCCTTCATGAGCTGGGATCCTACATGAATACCATTGGTGTCCCGGCGTCCTCACTTCCCATTCAGCTCCCCGTTAATGGCCTGGGAAAGCAGCTGAGGACAGCCCAAAGCCTTGGGGCCCTGCACCTGCCTGGGAGACCCAGAAGAAGCTCCTGGCTCCTGGCTTCAGATTGGCTCAGCTCTGGTCATTGTGGCTACTTGGGGAGTGAACCAGCTGACAGAACATCTTTCTTTCTGTCTCTCATTCTCTCTGTATGTCTGACTTACTAATAAAAAAAATCTTATAAAAACAACAAAAAGATATCCAAATAATATACGTTTGTCACCAAAACATAAAATAAAGCCAAAAATTCTAAAAAGTGACACATTTTCTTTAACATATTTTGTTTAAAAAGATGTTTATTATTACATTTAGTCACTTGTAGGATTAAGGAAGCCAATAAACATAATGTAAGACAATAAATGTTTTTCAAATGTAAGGGCATGAAGATAATACACAGTCTAGGGTTAGAAAAATCTGAGTGCAGATTAAGAAAATTAAAATGTACAATTTACTAGTTAACATGGTAATTCAGGCTCACAGTTAAAGGTTTTTTTCCTTCAGTTTTTGATGTCTTCAACTTTTAAAAAAAAATTTATTTATTTACTTGAAAGACAGAGTTATAGAGAGGGAGAGACAGAGAAAGAAATGTGTTTGAACAACTAGTCCATTTGCCAAATGACTACAACAGCCATGCTGTGCCAGGCTGAAGCCAGGAGCCAAGAGCTTCATCCAGCTCTCCCATGTGGGTGGCTACAGGAGCTCAAGCACTTGAGCCATTCTCTGCTGCGTTTCCCAGATTCATTAGCAGAGAGCTGGTACTTGAACTGGCATCTATGGGGGAAGCCAGTACTGCAGGAGACAGCTTGATCTCCTCATCACAACTGCCAACCCTAGATGAATTCCATTTTAGTCAAAGTAGAACTTTTCATTAAACTGCCTAAAAAATAGTGATTTACAGATGAGATCTAACAGCTACTTTCACTGGAAAACAATTAAATTTAATGGTTTTCCTGATGTCAGGCCAGGAAGTATTTATGTGCCATTGTGACTTTTATTCAATTTATTAATAATATTTTCATAATTCAGCTTTGTTCAGAGTTAAACATTTTCAAATACTTGGAGCCTGTACTGTGGTAAAGCAATTTGAACTGACACGTGCAATGCCAGCATCCCATTCGGACAGTGGTTCAAGTGCTAGCTGCTTCATTTCCCATCTAGCTCCCTGCTAATGTTCCTGGGAAAACAGTGGAGTAAAGCTCAAATGCTTGGACCCTTGCACCTGTATGGGAGACAGGGACGAAGCTCCTGAATCCTAGTTTCTGCCAGGCCAAGCCCCAACCACTGCAGCTGTTTGGGGAATGAACAGCAGGTGGACGATCCATCTCTCTCTGCTTCCATCTTTCCTCTCTGATGTTGAAATAACTAAATAAATCATTTAAAAATATTTTTAAAATACTGTTTTATATTCTCTATTCAGTTGTAAATTCAAATCATAAAACTACATATCAATGGAACAAAAATATTATAGATTTTACACAGTTGTTACCCAAGTAGAAAATTGTTTGCTAGACATTTATCATTTGATATTTACTAACGAAATAGGTCATATTTATCACTTTTTACATGGTATCTATATCTGGTTCACGGATGCAGACTACTATTTCTTGTGAGTTACTCCACAAAGCTAGTCATTAAAAAAGTTTTTTTCAATTGTCATATTATTTTCCATGATGCTGTTTTGTAGTTATAGGGGTTTCCCCCTTTCTTTCTCCTTTCTTCCTCCACTCCTCCCCTCCTACCATCCCCCCCCATATTATTACAGTAATATAGTACTTTGGTAACTGTTACAAGTTTAGCATTCTGCTGTTTAAGTGCATGATGGCATTGTAGAAAGGTAGAAATTCTCACATCATGTTGTCGAGGTATATTTAACTGTTTCGCTGGAGTCCTCCTTTCATTCAGGAGCAGAGATGACTACTGCAAAATATCTTTACTTCCCAGTATGCCACTTACCATCATATGGTTCTTCTATGAGAATATATGTATATACTTGCTCACCTATATATCTACTTGTCTTGTATACACAAAGCTAGCCTGTTTGTAGATGGGAACTATTGTTGCAGCACTTTAAACAATGAGAAATAATTAGTATTTAAGAAAATATATGGCATATGGGCCCGGCGCGGTGGCGCAAGTGGTTAAAGGTCCTCGCCTTGCACACCCGGGATCCCATATGGGCGCCGGTTCTAATCCCGGCAGCCCCGCTTCCCTTCCAGCTCCCTGCCTATGGCCTGGGGGGGCAGTCGAGGACGGCCCAAGGCTTTGGGAACCTGCACCCGCGTGGGAGACCCGGGGGAGGCTCCTGGCTTGGGATCGGCATAGTATCGGCCCGTTGCGCTCACTTGGGGAGTGAATCATCGGATGGAAGGTCTTCCTCTCTGTCTCTCCTCTCTGTATATCCTCCTTTCCAATAAAAAAAAAATAATAAAAATAAATCTTTTTTTAAAAAAAAAAAGAAAATATATGGCATAAGTAGGGCATAATATATGGCATACATATTTTCCTAATTCCATTTGAAGATCCTTCTAACTGTATACTTAAAATTAAAATATTGATATCTTATAGATACCTGGATATTCTGGCTTCCCAAAAGATTTTCACAGATAATCTTGGATATTTGTAATTTCTGAATCTAACCTTTGTATAAGAAACAACTTCTCTTAATTCATCAGCATTTTAAGTATCTACTTTTACAAGGATTCCAGATCTGATATTTTGTTGTTCAGAGTACTTGCTTGTCTTTATGGTAAACTTGAGATACGAATCCAAGTGGTTACCTTAATCTATAGAAGTGAAAATTAAAAATACTGGTTTGTCTAGGTTCATTGGAAGTTATAGCATCAGAACTGACATGAAGAATTTCTAACACAAACATCCGTTTGTACCACCCTTCCAGTTGTCTAGAATATCTTACATTCATATTACCTTGGCTATTTGGGCTCTGAAGCACTTTAGAAGAGGTACCTTGTTTGTTCACAGGGAAGTGATTCTGATGTGATTCATTCTGAGGGCATGTTGGAACAAACACTCTTTCTGGTGGTCTAAGATAGCTTCCTACTATGCTATGCATTAACTCTGAATCCATTACCTGTAAAAGATAAGGAATGATATAGTATAGCATCATTATTTCCTATTTTAAAAAATACACAAAAATTTGGGTGAAACTAACATAACACAACTATATGTGATGGTCTTATATTTTCACAAATACGCTATCATAAGTTCAACCACAATAAGCTCAGCACTAAGTGAGTATTTACTGCGTAACTAAAGTGGACAATGTTTCAATAAGCGCAGAACTTGGAGTAAGCAGGACATTCCTAATGGAAACTTGGTTTCTCATTTAACTTTTTTTTTTAATATAGCTTTAATTATTTATGAAAAGACTGAGCTAGACAGAAGCATAGTTGGAGGTACATAGTTGTGGGCATATGTGAAAGAAATTTCTGAAAAGAAAAGTCCCTAACCTTCAATTTCTACTCTGGTAGGCCCAACATGAAGCCTTACTGTAGGCAACAGAAGAGACCTCAGGATTATTGCTGAATACTTTAATTTTATGTGTCTGCAAGAGGGTAAAAAAGACTGCAAAATGTGGGTCTCATTTGTCCATGGTTGGCAAAATCCAGGGAAGTACAATTTATTACCAGAACCATACCAGGACAACCAGGGACAGCCAGGGAAGTTATCCACAGTCTCCACAGTTTATAAAAATCGTCAGACCTTAGTGGCTGCAAATAAGGGGAAATTGCATAAAACAACCGTCCTTCAGGATAGTAATAATTTGAGACAGAGAATTTTCACTTCTTAGGAAGAAAATGCCTATTGCAATAATTGCATAAAACTACTGGGGGATGTCTTAGGAGTCAGAGATACTATGGTGGATTCTTAGAATGGGGAAACCTCTGTTTCCTATATTATGAATTCTTTCATGTCTGGATTATTTTTCTTAGAGAAACTGCAGAAAGAGCAATAGTTTAATTTATTTGATCTGAGTGCTGTCTGTGTGTGTGAGAGAGAGAGAGAGAGTGCATATCTAGCTCACTTTAGCAGCAAATACAGTAAAGGTAGGGCCAAACAATCTCTTGTTCCCTTAAAAGTAGTCTTACAACTGAGGACAATTTACGGTCAAGGAACATGAATGAGATTCAACAAATGATTCATCAAGTGATCATTCAATAAACAATATTACAAAAATTCAAGAAATCCAGTTAAGCCTTTACCTTAGTCCTTACATCAACACAGACCTCAGCTGTATTAAAGTGAAATTTTAGAGAAAACTTTCAAAGTATTTTTTTTAAATCAGTGAATAGCTAATTTTTTTAAAAGATTTATTTTTATTGGAAAGGCGGATATACAGAGAGGAGAGACCGAGAGGAAGATCTTCCCTCTGCTGATTCACTCCCCAAGTGAGCGCAACGGCCGATGCTATGCCGATCTGAAGCCAGGAGCCTCTTCCGGGTCTCCCACGCGGGTGCAGGGTCCCAAAGCTTTGGGCTGTCCTGGACTGCTTTCCTGGGCCACAGGCAGAGAGCTGGAAGGGAAGTGGAGTGGCCAGGATTAGAACTGGCGCTCATATGGGATCCCGGGCGTGCAAGGAGAGGACCTTAACCACTGCGCCATCACGCCGGGCCCGAATAGCTAATCTTATAATGGGCAAAATATTTTATGCTTAAAAGCAGAGGAAGGGCCCGGCAGCATGGCCTAGCGGCTAAAATCCTTGCCTTGAACTCCCCGGCATCCCATATGGGAGCCGGTTCTGATCCCGGCAGCTCCACTTCCCATCCAGCTCCCTGCTTGTGGGAAAGCAGTCAAGGACGGCCCAAAGCCTTGGGACCTGCACCCATGTGGGAGACCCGAGAGAAGTTTCTGGTTCCAGGCTTCAGATCGGCACAGCACCGGCCGTTGCGGTCACTAGGGGAGTGAATCATTGGACAGAAGATCTTCCTCTCTGTCTCTCCTCCTCTCTGTATATCTGACTTTGTAACAAAAATAAATAAATCTTTAAAAAAAAAGGTAGAGGAAAAAACAGAAGAAAAGATAGCAAAAGCTACAATACAAAAAATTGAAAGGAAAACAAATTTTTACATTTTAGCAAAAAGGACTAAAATCACTACTATTGAAAGAGGTTTTATAAGTAAGAAGAAAACCATAATTTAAAAACATAATTTAAAAATTGGCAAGTGACTATAAAACATTAATTCACAGAAGAATGTACACCATGAACAATAAATTTTGGTAATAACAAGAAGTGGTCAAATCCAGATTTGAAACTAAGTTATGGGAGCTGAACCTCAGCTCAGATCCCAGCTCTGTCAAACGTTTTGGCCTTCTGAAGACATTTTTCTCCTGTGGGTTTCAACATTTTCAATATAATTGATTGTAGTACTTTATGAGGCTTCTGTAATTACATGAAATAAAATTTACTTAAACAGTTTAACAGAGTTTATTACTGCAACCTATTCACTTTCTGTAAGCAAAACACGTCCTTGGTAAAGGACAGCCACACTTAAAAAGAAGGAATGGGCTGATGTGGTGGCACAGCATGCTGATCTATTCCCGGTGGCACTGGTGTCTCATATGGACACCAGTTCTAGTCCCAGCTGCTCCACTTACGATCTACCCCCCTGCTTGTGGCCTGGAAAAGCAGCAAAGGATGGCTCAAATTTTTGGGCCTCTGCACGCATGTGGGAGACTGAGAGGAAGCTCCTGGCTCCTGGCTTCAGTTAGGCACACCGTTAGCCATTGTGGACATTTGGGAAATGAGCCAGCAGATGGAAGACCTCTCTGTCACTCTTCTCTCTGCAAAATCTTCCTTTTAAACAAAAATACAGAAATCCTAAAAAGAGGAAATTATATATATATATATATGTATTTATATTTCAAATGTGAATTTTTCAAAGGAACAGCAGTTAATGATGGCAAGAAAACACTGCAGATGGGAATATAAATACAAACTGGTAACCCTTTTCTGGAAAGCAGCTGAATAGTACATGCCATGAATGTCAAAAGGTCATTAAATGTTACAGGAAGCTAGACTAAAAAAAAAGACATCCATAAAGATTATCACCTCAGCAGTTCAAGAATGTGATTTTATTAGAAAATAGCACCTTGGGTCCGTCAGCATGGCCTAGCAGCTAAAGTCCTCGCCTTGAACATGCCCGGGATCCCATATGGGTGCTGGTTCTAATCCCAGCAGCTCCACTTCCCATCCAGCTCCCTGCTTGTGGCCTGGGAAAGCAGTTGAGGACGGCCCAATGCTTTGGGATCCTGCACCCATGTGGGAGACCTGGAGGAGGTTCCTGGATCCTGGCTCCAGTTCGGCACAGCACCATCTGTTGCAGTCACTTGAGGAGTGAATCATCGGACAGAAGATCTTCCTCTCTGTCTCTCCTCCTCTCTGTATATCTGACTTTCCAATAAATAAATAAATATTTATTAAAAAAAAATAGCACCTTTACAGATACAATTAAGTCAAAATGAGGCCCTTAGTTTGCCCTGATCAAATCTGACTGGGCCTCTACAAGAGGAAATGTAGACACACAGAGAAGGAGGCCATAAAAAGTCAAGGGGAAAGGCCTCAGAAGGAACCAAGTCTGCTGCTACTCTGACCTTGGACTTGTAACTTCCAGAACTGTAGGAAACTGCCAGTGTTTGAGCCACACAGTCTGTGGCGGTGATTACGCAGCCCTAACAAACAAATGCATTGTTCCCAATACATTCCTTTGCTGCATGGTGAATGACACACAGAATGGTAACAAGAATGTAACATGAGAAGACTAACGGTGATGCTATTTAGAGTGTTTGTTAGGTTATGAAACAATTATGCATCTCTCTTACTTTCCTCCGATAATGCTTTTGGTAATATCTTGAACTTAGTAGGCTATGGAATGACTAATCTATCATCCCATATTCATAATTTTAAGAAATTTTAGATTTTCCAGTATAATCAAATTGCAGAATAAACATGCTTTAATCCATGTTTAATTTATATAAATTACATTCTTTTTAAATTCAAACATATTCCTGTAACAGTTTGTACAAAAAAGCAAAAACATGAAGACTTAAGAACTAAACTGACAAAGACCCGGAGGGACATCCAAAGGACCAAAGTAAGTGCAGAATTATAGTTATGAGGCAGTTTGAATTACAGAAACAGTCAAATGAAACTAATCTTAAGTTTAAGGCACAAATTCAGATAACTTTAAAATACAGCTAAAGACAATAGTCTCTTTAAAATTTATGTCTAGCTACCTTCCAAAAGTATTTGAGATGACAAATGTGAAGAGGCAGTGAGTCTACCCAAATGCAGGGAAAGTCCATGGTATCAGGTAAATAATACCCCAGAGTTCTAGAACTGAAAGGGAGATTTCACATGTCCATTACATCAATTTCAATCTTTCATAAATGTGAAAAATGATATCTACATTGGCTATGCAGTTTACTCAACACATCTCAAGTTTCTTGTACCCAAAAATTCAGAAAATATTCTTTCTTAAGGAACCTGGTTGATTTATATTTATCTTAACAGAGACTATCCTAACAGATGGTCAAAACGAAAATTAGTTTAGAGAAAAACCTTCTTTCTTAAAGTTCCTAGTTCTTTTACTTGTATCTAAATAGACTACCCTAACAAACAGTCAGAAGGAAAATGCCTCCTGGAGAGAAACTGAATGTGAGAGATATTGAGTCAAAACCAGAATCATACAATCTTGCTCTCAAGTCAGGAGAGGTCGTGGAGGAATTCACTTGCATGTCAGCATCACAGATGGATGCTCAATCACTGGTACCACAACCCCAGCCTCAGACTTTTAAACTTTACACATATATAAATGAGATCAAACTTTTTCCTTCATTCAACATATCTCAAGAATCATGATGGTACTTGAAACTGCATGGCAATGTTCATTGCTGTATACTATTTTGTCATATAACATGCAGATCTCCCCATCAGATACACCATGCTATAGATGTATGAAATTTTCAGTTGTATATGGATTTTAGCCACAATCTTACAAAATATTTTTTATTTGCATTCAAAATCAATGTTTGGATTCACCAACAAATTTCCTTTACTCTAGCAGATGATCT